TGCCCAGGTGGTGGTGGTGGGGGCGTCAGACACGGGGCTGTCCTTCCTGGAGGTGCTGTGCACCTGGTGGGTTGTTAGCATTTTTACCCCAGAGTCCAGACAGCAGGTCGGTGAGACACCTCTACTGCCCCCTGTGGTCAGTTTATTCAGCTGTGTGACTCCTGCTCCTCCTTTTACTGCTCCTGCTCCTCCTTCTCCCTCTTACAGTCAGAGGAGGGGTCAGAGAGATGACCCCCCCCCCCCTGAGTTTGACTCTAAGACGACAGTAGAGGTCAACATAAAGGACGGGGGTCAAAGTTCAGACTCTCCTGAACCAAAGTCCACGTCAGTCATGTGACGTGGCTGTCACCTGTCAATCATCCTGACACACAGACACACAGACTCCTCCTATCATGGAGGGTTAGGTACCAAAGCGCCCCCTGCTGTCTGGTGGTTCATCTGTACAACTGTTCCCTCTGTGTCCATGGTTTCCTCCTAGTCCTCACCTGAGGTTCTGCACCCTGACCCTGGTCTCCACCCATGGGTTCCCCACACGGTCCAGTCACCAGGACCCGGGCTTTCTGTCCACCAGGTGAGCCAACGGCAGTAGTGAGTTCACGGTGGTCGACACATCCTGTACCTAACAAAATGGCCGTGTGCTGTGGTCAGCCACGCCCACAGCAGCACAGACCTGGCGCTGCTTCCTCTGCGTTCGTGCGTTACCGTGGTGACGGACAAGATGGTGAAGATTGACAGGAAGTCCAAACGTGTGCTGGTGTCCAGCGGCAGGAAGGTTCCCTACGACTTCCTGCTGCTCTGTCCTGGACTTCAGTACCAGGTGTGGTCTCACTGAACCCCTGACCCCTGACCTCAGCTCCTGACCTCTGACCTAACTGTGTGACTCCTCACGTCGTGTGATGGTGTAGATGCCCAGCAGAGCTGGAAGTGGTTCCTCACAGACTCCGCCCACTCGGCGTTGGAGACACCCTGGCCCCGCCCCTTCCAACCTCTTCACTCTCAACGCCCCCCAGGACTGTGACGCGCTCCGACGCTGGCTGCTGCAGAACTTTGTGGAGCGTCAGGGTGAGGCTAGCTCTGAGCTAGTTTTTATTTTGTGAGTTTGCGAACAGTTAGCTATACAGAACAGTTAGCTATACAGAACAGTTAGCTATACAGAACCGTTAGCTACTCTGTAGAAACAAACTCCTTTAGTTTCTTTTAGTTTTTTGTTTGTTTTTTTAGATACTTTTTTCAAGCTAGTAATAGTTAGTTGTTAGTTCTAGTTGTTAGCTGTTTTTTGTGGCTAACCTTTAGGGAGTCTGTGTTGACCTTTAGCTATATTGGCTTTTTCCTTTTTGGCTAACGTTTAGCTTTTTATTGACGCTATCTTTAGCCTGTTGTACTTTTTGTTTTGGCTAACAGTTAGCGACACTGTAACAACCGTCTGCCTTTTTTAACCCCTGTTCAGAAGACGCTGTCGTTTACGGCAACAGTCTGGACGTGTACACCACCGTGGGGGCGCTGTTGGGTCTTGGCGTCCGTGGGTCGCGTATTCACCTGGTCCTCACGCCTCCTGGGAACACTGGCGCTTCCTGCTTCGGTGACCGGGCCGTGGATAGAGCTGTGGCCTCAGAGTTGGAGAGGGCAGAGGTTCGAGTCCACAGTGATTTTGTGCTGACCCGGATCAACGATGGTGACCATCACCTTGACCCCGTGACCTCGGCGACCTTCAGCAGGGACGACTCAAAGGATCTGCGTCTGCTCTGTGGAGTGAGCGGCTTCTATAACAACAACAGTGGTTATTGATTTCATTGGTTGTCGCTTGATGACATCATCTTCCTCCCTCAGCTCTTCATCAACCTCTCCAACCGAGGAGTCGACTACGACGCCTTCAGGGCCGTCAGCACCTCCTTCCTGACCTTTGACAGCAGGATCGTCATAGACGCCCAGTTCGGCACCAATGACCCGGCCATCTTCGCCGCCGGACCCGCCACTAAGTTCTGCCGCCGTTACCACACCGACGAGTGGGAACATGGCAGCTTCAACTCCAAGGAGGTGGGTCGGAACCTGGCAGACAGGATCCTGGGCATCATCGACCCGACGTGGGAATTGGACCACAGACCTCCTGCTGATCAACGTCTGGTGCCGCTTTACAGAGAGGCCAAGATTCAAGGTGGGGGAGGGGGTACAAAAGGTCAACGTGTCACTGTGGTCTGACCCGGTCTGACCCGGTGGTTACAGAGTTAGCTAACGTTAGCTAACGTGTCTCTGCTCAGGGGGAACCCTTCCTGGGGGGCATCACTACCTGCACTTCAGGAAACCGTCTCCATCTGAGCCTCCGGCCTGGACGGCTCCACAGGTTGGTCCACCGTCAGAGGTAAGTCCAGCTAGCTCACTGCTAACCTGCTAACCTGCTAACCTGCTAACCTGCTAACCTGCAGCTGCTCACAGACCTAAAGGCTAGCCAAAGGTTTGTGGATATGGGACTTTGTTTTTGGTTCTCAGGAGAGAGTGATGGTGACAGGAGGAGTGGAGACAGGGAACTATTTCTGTTTGCACCTGGACATCCACCAGCAGGTGGAGACACTCACCTGCTTCTCCCTAAAACCTTTCCCTGTCTCCAACTACCTGAGTCTGTACGGAAAACATCAGCAGCTGCTGGGACGACTGCTGACCCGCTACCACCAGAACCAGGTCCAGGACCTGTACAGGTGAGACTCTCCCTGTCCAACAGGTGGCAGCAGTGGACCAAAAATAAATGAATAAATAAAAACTTTAAGAAAACCAAAGCTCTGTTGACATCTGTGTGTGTGTGTGTGTGTGTGTGTGTGTGTGTGCAGCTTCTTCACACACAGCAGCTGTCTCCCTGTCTTCCACGACAGATTCTCAGACCTGCAGCAGGAGCTCCAGCAGATGAACGCAGACAAGGTCCAGGTTTCACTGTTTTCTTCTGGTAAAAAAAAACCAAAACAAAAAACCTTTTCAAATGTGCTTCTGCTCAGACTCAGTGTCTCCCCCTGCAGGAGGCCGGGTCACAGCAGCAGCTGGGCGACGATGATGATGCTCTGAGAAGAAGAGCAGTCAAGTATCTGAAGTACAACAGGAACCTGCTGCCTATGTTCGCCTGCCGGCCTCAGCTGTGACGTCATCACAGCGTCATCATCATCATCATCACCTTCATCAACATCATCCAAAGAAAGTCACCAGACTATAAAAGCAGGTGTGTGTGTGTGTGTGTGTGTCTGTGAAGTGTGTGCAGCAGGGGAGACGAGGGTGAGGCTGCAGCCTCAGGTACATCTGCTTTGTAACTCCTCCTCCTCCTCCTCCTCCTCCTGCTCCTCCTCCTCCTCCTGATTCTCCATCCTTCTGTTGTCATCTCCGTCCCCTGTGGAGCTCCACTGATGCTGATTGGTCAGAGATGAGTCAATAGATAGGAGGGATTGCTGGGGGGGGCAGCTTGGGGGGGGGGGCATGTTGTCATCATGAGGCATTAAAAAGCAGAGAGCAGCTCTGAGGAGCAGAGAGGAGGTGTCAGATGTTCCACCTGTTCTCCTCTCCGCTCAGACCTTCAGCTCCATCATGCCCAGAGGATTTCTGGTCAAAAGAAACAGAAAGTTGGTCCCGGTCTCCTACCGGCTCCGCTGTGAGGAGCAGCAGCAGCAGCAGCAGCAGCAGCCACCACCGCAGCCACAGCAGGCAGCAGCCGGAGAGGAGNNNCGCGCGCGCGGCAGCCGCGTCTCTCCGCTTAGTGCCGGTGCGCGCGGACACGCCGACGCTGACCTGCGGAGTCTCCGCCCCGGAGTCTGACCTCAGACCGGGCCGTTACTTGGTGAACCAGACTCTGTGCAGTCCGAGCCCCGGGAGCCGCGACCACGGCCGCTCCTGCCTCGACTCCCCGGTGTCCGCGGAGTCTTTTCCGACACTCTTCTCCCCGGTGGACCTGAAGTTTTGCTCCCGCACCAGCAGCCGAGGCTGCACCACATCATCATTATCCTCCTCCTCCTGCTCCTCCTCCTGCTGCTCCTCTTCATCTTCCAGCGGCACCCGGCGGCCGTGTGGCAGAACCGCGGCCAGAAAAGCCAAAACTATTCGGAAACTGCACTTTGAAGATGACGTCACCACATCACCGGTACTTGGCCTGAGAATCAAAGAGCTGCCGATGGACCGGAAGTGCAAGGACCAGCCCCTCGGTGAGTTCGTGTGCCAGCTCTGCCGTGAAGCGTACGCGGACCCGTTGTCGCTGGCGCAGCACAGATGTTCCAGGATCGTCCGCGTGGACTACCGCTGTCCAGACTGCGACAAGGTCTTCAGCTGTCCCGCCAACCTGGCGTCGCACCGTCGCTGGCACAAACCCAGGCAGCAGCAGAGCGTGGCGGCAGAAGGCGACAAGGCGGCGGCAGCGGCCGGCG